CCTTTTTTTCACCCGCTCTTCTCCAACCTTGCGCCCCCGGGGTTCATTTGGGGATGGGGACCACCAGCCCAGGGGCAGGCCCGAACCCTGCAGCAATGATGGGCTTTGTAGTCCTCCAAAATTTCCTCGCTATAAACCATCTTTTTTGGGGGGGGGAAGAGGGGGGAACCCCACAATCATGTTTATACTTAAATCTGTTCTCTTATACAGGCTTGACAAAATAAATAAAGTAAATAAGTGGATTTCATTTGCAGCCCCCCTTTTTTTCACCCGCTCTTCTCCAACCTTGCGCCCCCCTGGGGCTCATTTGGGGATGGGGAGAACCGGCCCAGGGGCAGGCCCGAACCCTGCAGCAATGATGGGCTTTGTAGTCCTCCAAAATTTCCTCGCTATAAACCATCTTTTTTGGGGGGGAAAGAGGGGGGAACCCCACAATCATGTTTATACTTATATCTGTTCTCTTATACAGGCTTGACAAAATAAATAAAGTAAATAAGTGGATTTGATTGAGGCTTCCCACATAGCCCCCACCCACTCCCGCATGGGGTTTTGAGCTTCCCTCTTTTCCGACCTGGCGCTCCCGGGGTCTTTTGCGATGGGGACCACCTCACCCATCTCTCCGGCCCAGAGACGGGCAGCCACGATAGGCTTTGTAGTCCTCCGCTCCTGACAGGCTGGGGAGGGTCTCGGAGGTCCCCTAGATTCAAAGGCAGACGGCGGGGACCCCTCCCCATCTTCTGAGCCGGTGCAAAGGGTGGACCCCCCCACAGGAATAGGGACGCCCACCCCCCCTCAAGGACCCCTCTCCTGCGGCCGAGACTCATCCGCCTCTCCCCCCCCACCGCCTGTAGGTTACATAATAATGCCCCCCTCGCTCTCCACGCCTCTTGCCCACCCCGTGTGACACCTATATAATGTATAGGCGCCCCCTTCCCCCCCTCACCGCCCCACACAGGCCTATCCGCATCCCCCCAGCGAAGGGGCACCTCGGTTATAACGGCGCTTTCGGGACCCACCCACCCCGGTCGGTGGGCCGCTCGCCCCGGCTCCCTCAGCGGCCCCGACGCCCCCACCCCCGCGCCCCAAAACATAACACCACCGCCGCCGCGAAGGCCGCCAAGCGTGCGGGCCTCACCGCCGCCGCGACGCCATGGCAACGGCTCCTGCCGCTCCGGCCGCCATCTTTGTTCCTCCTCGCCCTCCCGCGCCGCGTCGCGCTTTGCCCGGAGCGCGGCCGGCTTCGGGGAGGAATTTTGCGCAGGCGCCGACTCGCCAAGGCCTGCCCTCGGAAGCGCCGCCGCTGAGGGGGGCGGAGTTCCTGAGCGGCGCATGCGCGGCTCGCCGCGTTCTCCGCTCGCCTCTCTCTGTAACGTCATCCAGGAGGCGCTTCTTGTTTTTGCTGCCGGCTTTGCAGCGCCCGCGCGCGGTTCTCGTTGCCAGGGCAACGGGGAGCCGCTTTCCGCAGATTTAAAGAGACCGCGGCATGTGTTTAAAAAGCAGCCAAATTGCAATTGAGAAATAAAGTATATATATATATATATNACACAGAAAGAGAGACATGTATGCAAATGCACATATATATTTACTTATTTTATTTATATATCAGACTTCTTAATCGTGACACATCTCTCATTCTTTCTCTTTATACACACACAGAAAGAGAGACATGTATGCAAATGCACATATATATTTACTTATTTTATTTATATATCAAACTTCTTAATCCCTAATTTCCCACCTACATGCATACATAGGCGCTCACAAATATTAGTTATGCATTTATTACAGTATACGTATACAACTACCCTTTAACAGAGATTCACATATAATAAGAGGAGCTAACAAATAATAAAACACAGTACAATAAGATAAAACATAAACTACTGAGATTTTAAATTGAAATGGCCAAGTTAAAAGACTAGCATTATTTAAAAGCTGTTGGTGAATAAAACAATCTTGCTTGGCCTTGTAAAGATAATAAAGATGGCAGCTTGTCAGAAAAGGCTTTTTCAATATCCAGGTATCATTACCAAAAAAGATCTCTCTTAATGATAGCCCATTCTATCTTACTTGGCAGGAAGACTTAGAGGAGAGTTTCTAAAGAAGAACTCAGGATTTGGATAACTACTTCTAAGCCATTTAGGGCTTTCAAGTTTAAATCAGCTTGGTGTCAGAACAAAAGAATTAGTCCCATTAATAATCCTGTGCTCTGATTCGGGATCACTTCCAATTTCTAAACCATTTTTAAAAGTCACCCAAGGTATAATTTATTGCAATAGTCTTAATGGGAATTGGCCCAGCTACTTCCATTCAGCTAAGGTCACGGAGAGAGTTCATGAAAGATTCTTGTAATCACAAGACTACTTAAGATAGCTGAATAAGTCAGAAAAATTAATAAGGCAGTCCCTAGACATATTGCTATATAACCTGAAAAAGGAGAGACAGTGAAGAATGTGCCTATCAGTGAGTTCTTCCTCTAAGAAGACATAAACAGGAATGTGAGATCAGGCTTAATTTATGAAATGTACATTTCAAGGTAAGAATCTGTGGCGGGTAATCCACAGATGCAAACTTACAAGCAACTCTGAATACGGTTCATCAGGTTAGTAGATATTAAGGGCCAGCACACTTTGAAAATGATTCAGAAGGACTTCATCAGATCTCAGATAAGCAAAACACCCCTTTGTTACTCATTAAAACAGAAAGTCTTTTCTGCAATTCCATTTAAGCCTGGAAAAACTTGTAGCTGGTTTAAGAAGTTGACTCATTAAAGAGGAAACAATTCTTAAAACTGCTGCAATTTTTTTTTCAAGCTCATGTGGAAGCTCTTTTAATGAGTAACAAAG